ATATTCCACTGTATGGAAGTAACACAGTTGGTCCATTTCCCCATTGGACATTTGGGTTGTCCATAGTTTGGACCTATTACAAGTACAGCTGCCATGCACATTTGGGTATGGTTATACCCAAAGGGGTATGGATACATTTATTTCTTGAGGTCATTTGGTGAGTATATATTTAATGTTTAAGGAACTCCTAAACTATTTTCCAAGGTGGTTATACTATTTTATGTTCCCACCAGCAGTGTAGAAGAGTCACAGTTCTTCCACATATTCTCCAACACTTGATATGTTCATTTGTTTTTAAATGTTAGTCATTCTCATAGATGTATGATAGTACCATGTTATGTTTTGGTTTTCATTTTCCCAGTGACTCATGATATTGAACATCTTTTCATGTGCTTATTTGCCATCTGTGTGCTGCCTTTGGTGAAGAATCTCTTCAAATATTTGCTCATGTTTTAAATTGGGTTGACTGTTTCTCCTTACTGAATTTTGAGAGTCCTCTATGTCTTCAGGATGTAGGATGTAAGGCCACTAACAGACCATTACTAGATATGTGACTTGCAAATATCATCTTAGAGCCTGTGGCCTATCTTCTCATTCTCTTAATAGCATTTTTTGAAAATCAGAAATTTTAATTTTGGTGAAACTCGTATTTACCAAATTTTTTCTTTTATGAATCATGCTTTTGCTAATTCTTATTTTTAAGAACTCTGCATAATCCCCAAGGTCCTAGAGATTTTATGGAGCTTTAGAGTTCTATAATCTGTTTTGTGTTAAATTCCATATATGGTGTGAGCATGGATCAAGGTCCTCCCACACCCAATTGGGGCAGCACTTTCCCTCGAATTTCCTTTGCAGTATTGTTGAGAAGCAATTGACCATAAATGCATGGATTTACTTGTGGATGTTTTATTTTGTCCTATTGATTATTTTATTTTTTATGCCAATATGACACTGTCTTGATTATTAATAATTTTATAAGAACTTTTAAAAGAACTTTTATACTCTTATAAATCATTCAACTTTATTATTTTTTCAAAGTTGTTTTGGCTCTTTTGTGTCTTTTATATTTTCATATGAATTTTAGAGTCAAACTAAATTTCTACAAAAAAAATCCTGCTAGGTTTCTTACTGGGACTGTGTTTAATCTCTAGATCAGTTTGGGGAGAATTACCATTGTAACCTCCTTTCCTGAATGATTTAAAATCCCAGCTACATCATTCAGAACTGTGTAAACCCAAGGGCTTTGCTTAACATCTCTGAGCCTGAATTTTTCTTCCTCTAAAATTGAGGTAGAAATTCTTTGGTAATAATAATAAAATAGGTTAATCAATATTTGTAAATTGTTAGGTACTATTTTCTCTTTTTTTCATTTATACTTTAGCAAACATTTAATGGATAGTGAAAATATAAAGCGTAATATCATCAGTTAAACCTTTGTTGTTGTTCTGGGGATGGGTTCCAGGGAGTCCTGGGCTAGATTGCCAGTTCTTTTTTATTTTATTTTGAGCAGGGTCTCCTAAATTGCCCAGGCAGCCCTGAACTCACGATCCTCCTGCCTCAGCCTCTCAAGTAGCTGGGATTATAGGCAGGTGCCAACACTTGTAGCTCTAGTTTTTTGGGTTTTTTAATGGGCTCATATTACTTCTGTTGTGGGTTTTGTTGTGACATTTTCATACACGCATATAACATATTTCATCTTGCCCCTGTTTTCTACTTTCACTGTAGGAACTGGATTTACAGGAAGTTTTACCCAACTTGAAGACATAATTCACCAGGCATGTTTTTACTTTAACTTGACAGTTGTATGAGAGCAATGCCCTCTACACAGAAGAGCTCGTTTTGCATAAGTGCAGTGAGGCCTTGACCAGGGTGACTTGCCAAGCTTACAGAGCAAGAACAGTGAGAGCTCCTTGCATGATCAGAAATGTCACGGCCAGTTGGCAGATTCTGTTCACCCAGTACAGTGACTACTAAATACTGGCCACTAAACAAGATCCTATGCTGGGCTCTTGGAATTTAAGAATGAGGCCAGGGATCAGTATTTTCTCCTCCCAAAACTTGGGGACACAGAGAAAATACAGACAAGCATACATCACTTATTTTAAAATATTTATTATGTAGTTGATTGTTTACACGTTTAGTTTATTGAGACAGAGTCTTGCTGTGTAGTCCAGGCTGGCTTTGAACTCACTCTGTAGCTCAGGTTGGCCTCAAACTCACAGTGATCCTCTTGCCTCAGCCTCTTGAATGCTGGGATTACAGGTGTGTACCTCCATCCCTGGCTCCAGACAGATCATTTCAATGAGACTGATAGGTAAAATGAGGAGAGTTCTGGAAACACAGTTGAGGGCTGATTTGGAGCACTGAGGATTAGGGAAGAACTTCTAAAGGAAATGGCTTTGAAGCTGAAGTTGGTGAATGGCACACAGAGGTTGGGGAGAAGGTATAGGAAGAAGAGGGAGAAACGGGATTCTGTGCTTTGTACCGAGGGCACACATCCAGATGCAAAGGAGAGCGTGGCACCAGCAGAACACTGGGCACTGGGCCAGAAGAGAGGAGTCCCTCGTAAACGAGTGAAGTGCTGTGACTCAGCCCTGGTAGTCTCCCCGGGAGAGTAGAGACCAGAGAGCAGTTGGGAACATTGCAGAGGCTTTCAGATGGCAGGGCTGAGGCCAGGGGAGCCGGGAGAGGGGCCAGCAGCCATCAAGCAGGGGAGGGGCCAGTTTCTGACCCAAGCAACTGTTAGCCAGCTTGATCCAGTGTCTTCTCTGAAGCAGGGCGTGAGAAGGAGGCTGTGGGTTTGGCACGGGAGAAGACAGAGGCTCGCTTCTGCTGGAGTTTTGGTGACGTTAGGGAGATCGCCTGGGAGTGGCTTGTTGGAGACAGGGATGCAGTGGCAGAAAGGGAGGCCATGAGGCTTACGGGTCAGGAGCCCAAGAGGGAAGGAAGGGCTCCAAGAACCACCTTTAAATGATGGGCTTGACACCTGCTTTGTCTTCCTTCAGCACGCGCAGTGTCTCGTGGATCTGCTGGTCCATCAGAGCCTATTTCTTCTGGCCCCCTCTGCTGCTCAAGGCCAGTGTCTTTTTAACCTATGCTATGCAGGGTCTGCAGAAATGCAGAAGAACGGGGCCTTGCCAAGAATTCTAGGAGTTGAGTAACATTGCTCTAAAATGCCACTACTTAGGAATTACCTTTGATTCTGTAACCATTAGAATGACACTGAAGGAACCTGGTTAAATCTTGTTTGTGTTTGTGTGTGTGTGTGTGTATGTGTGTGTGTTCCCCTGAAGGACATGAATGAAGTCGAAACCTCAAGCTTCAGTTTAGCACCTGAGAGAGCACAGTGTGTAGCAGGTGGGGACAGAGGGTTGTGGCGTCACCTTGCTGCCGTGGGGACTTTGCCATACTTTGCAGGACACTTCAGTGTTTAGAGGAGCCCAGTTCAAATTCTAGTTCATTGGCTCTATTTTACTGAGTTTCCTTGAGGCAGAGTGGTTTGCCTTTTGTCACGCTGGTATTTGGAGGAAGAGGTGGAATTAATACTGGTAACTTGAGACTCCTGGTGTGTCTTTTGGTGGCCTTGTGACCTTGGAGAACCACTCCCGTTAGTCACCACCTCCGTACACACCTTGAAGCACTCGGGGTTGCTGAAGGTGGAGAGAGAGTGGCGGGGAAAAGAAGCAGATGTGAGATGTTCCTTTGCTCCAGATGTCGGGGAATTGTCCCACCCACCGAGGTGGCCTGACACCAGCGTGGGCTGTGTCCGCCGCCCCTTGGCTGCACACTTGCCAGTCAGCGTCTCTCTTGACACTCGCTGATCAGTGGGAAGCTGACATATCTGTCTCGTGTGTTACTTCTGGCACAGTGACACATTTAATTTCATAACCATTTAATGAACAAGTTATAGTTAGTAAATTAAACTTTATTACTGTTTTCTGAACTCGAAAAAATATTCCTCAAAGGCTAGAATCTTACTCAGTAGACCACCTAATGAGGAATTAAAAAATTTGATCATAGTAATAGCTTACTACTGCTTTGAAGTTATTAAGTCTTTGGCTTTATTATAAATGCTTCCTTTTATCAGTAGACAAACAGTGAAAAGTGGTAATGAAGTTTGCCAAAGCTTTGGCGCTAATAAGAGCAGAGTTTGGGGTGAGCCTTTTCACTCCGTTTCTTCCTTCTGAGCCACTGTCTTTACTGAAGGTTGCTGGGGTGAAGGAGCCCTAGGGTGTGAGGCAGGGAAGATGTGGGCATGGAGACCGGCTTCAAAACCAAGCAGTAGACGACATCTGTATTTGCCATGCTGCCTGGGCCATGTTGTCCTGGAAACCACACGAGAACCACCTTCGTCTAAAGGCCCGGTGCTGCCTGCCACCCTCACTCATACTGCCTCTTACATGTGCTGTTCAAAGTCAGTGTGGGTTTCAGACGTCTTTTAAAAGTCTCACCAGTAAAATAAATGCTTTTGACCATTGTTTACTGTCAGTAAATAGAAATGATGTCTATTTGGCCTGCTCCTTTTGGGGTCAGTCTTTTGAGGATCTAATAAAAATGATAGAAGTTAAAGTGGTTAAATCAGCATGCACAGAAGGGTATGCTGTGTAAGATATTCTTCCTACTGTCCATGCTTTGATTGTAATCTAAGGAGACTGTGAATGCTGATCCAAATCTACACAGAAATACTGTGACTGCTTTTTCTTCAATTAACCCAAAAAACAATAGATAATTGATTCTTTTGATATATTTCTGATTGAGGGACTGTATGAGTTGCTTTATAGCTTGCATTCAATCCTTTATGTTGAAATTTTAGCGAAGATAATCAAAACTCTCCTAACAGGAATAACTCAGATGTTCAAGAAAAGTTAATTGCTGTCTCTTTGTTTCAGATTGCATGACTGAATTTTGACACGCTGGGCAATAAAACAAATGCATTGGGAAACATGTACTTTAAAAAAAAAACTATTTTGCAAAGCAATTTTCTTTTTCTTGAATTTTAGGAAACAGATATCGATGACAGATATGGAGATTTGGATTCCAGGGCAGATTCTGATGTTCCCGAGATCCCGCTGTCCTCCGACCAGACCCCCGAGATCCTGCAGAAAGCACTGTCTGGCTTATCCTCAAGGTCTGACTGGTGGGAGCCGGGTCTTGGTGCGCAGGTGCCCCGAGGTTATCCCTCCCTTGAGATCAGTTTGGGGACCGTGAGAGAGAAAGCTGATACTTTTTGACTGCACAGTATGTGAGGTGCAATCCTAAGTGCTTGATGTATACAGCCCTTAGTTTTTTTATTGTGGTTTTAACTGAGCTTAAAATTGCTCCGCAAAATTCCACAGTACTTTACCATCATTTTGTATTTGTGCTATGTCTTTAAATGTTTAATGGCCACAACAATTCAGCCAATTTTAATTTAATGAATTGTATGCTTTAGTAATATTGTTACAGTGGAATGGGCCAATAATAGTCCAGGTTCTTGTGTATGATGAGGGAAGAATTACCACGTGTACACATAATCATAGGTAGCAAGCAGCTACATTTATTGAAGATTACAGGAAGTTGTGCTCAGGGGGTATCTGTGCCAGCAAAGGTATAACACAGACCAAGAAAGGTGCCGGGCTGACAGAAAAGCACTGCACACAGGTCAAAAGCACATAAAAGTATCCACAGCAAAGAAAAGGGGTGAATAAGTCAGGCTTTCAGGGTTTAAAGGCCAGATGTCTCTGCCCTAGGTTCCTCCCATGAATGTCTAGGTGTGACTGACAGGAACAATCGACTGGATCCTGAACCATCTTAGAGGCTCTGACCACACATGCTCATCCCGGAATTCACAGATCTTACTATATTTATGAGATGTAGTACATATTTATGAGCCTGTAATAAGGTGAAAGGAGAGTAAAGGTGACCAGAAGGTCAGGCTAGAAGAGCCTGTGCACCTGTGTGCTTGCCTAGAGCATTGACAGCATCTCCTAAGATCTTGTTATTTTGTTCTCCACCTCTCTTAGGACGGTGGAAGCAGGAATAACCGGAGGGTACTGTCTGGGAGTAAAGGGAGGGAAAGGAATGACTCCCTCAGCTCCATTGTCTCGAACTCTATTAATATGAATTATAAAAATTTTTAAAGCAAAATAATACGTTTTATTCAGATTAGTGTATGATATGTTACATAGTAATGACAGTGTTTCCTGCTCTTTTTTGACTGATACATGGCAATAAGTACATTTTATACTACATCTCAAGAGCCCCATTAATAAGTATTTTATCTGCTGTAAAAATAATGGGATTACTGCGTGTGGCATCCCCTGGCTTCTTTTCTGTTTGATGCTGTCCTGTGTTCTTGGACACAAGTGCTAGATGCAACTTACTACCTTGATTTTACTGCCACAGGTCATAATCTGCATTTTGAAAATAGCGGGTCTGGTCATTTCTAGAAAATTCTGTGAGTCTTTCTCTTTTTCGCTTTCAGGGGTGAACTATTCTAGGAGCATAAGGAGAGAAATGCACTGAGACTCAGCTTTCCTGCTGTGCTGCTCACAGCCCAAGCCCCCTCTGTGATTCCAAAGTGTGTGGATTTCTTCCTCCCAGAGCAGGCAGCGGGCAGTTCTTTCATAGACACCTCAGGGTGGGGCTCTGACCCAGTTACGCCTCACACAGTCAGCCGGAGGTAGCCTCATGTCCCTGTTTTGGGGGCACAATCTCCCTTCAGATGCCTGTCAGATGCCTCCAGAACTTATGGCCAACTGGTCGCAACTTGGGGTTCCTACAGCTACACTTTTGCCTCAGTTTATTAAAGCAGTTCATAGAATACAGGTGAACCCACACTTCTAGTTACCGGGTTGTTATAAAGACTCTTTACAGGATAATGCCAAGCAGGCAGAAGAAGAGGTCCCTAGGCTGGCTCTGAGGAAACTCTTAAGCCCAGGACCTTTGGGGCCCCCCTGCCCGAGCACACACCCCAGGCTGCGTCCTTGTCACCAACCTGCAGGCCCCCGAGTGCCAGCTGCAGGGGCTCCTGGGCCCTGTCCCACTGGGGTTTCACAGGGACTCCCTCAGCACAGGCCACCGTGGGATGTGTGCTGGGACACTCACTGAGGGGACCCAGCAAGGGTGGCTGTGCAGGTTCTTTCCCGGTGGCCACCTGCACAGTGTCCCCTCCTCCCAGGTATGGTCAGGAGCCCTCTGAGATGGGGGTGTAGCATCTATGGCCGGCTTCACCACACAGAGGGAGGGAAAATTAGAATGTAGGTTTAGTTTCTGTGCCCTGCCTTCAGGAAGAGAAATTTACAGTTTCCATGCCAGTGTTAGAAAAACAGAGCAGATGATAGGGTTAGGAGAAGGAGAGGAGGATTTTGCTTTGATGTCTGCTTCTGAGGCATTATTCTAGTCATTTAGGGAATTATATACCTGAGCTGTGGATGTAAAGCAAAATATGTGTATCATAATGCCTTAAACATATTAGAATAAATTGGCTCAAAGCAAGGTCTTCAGATTTTTTTTCCTTTGAGTCTAGATTTTTTAACCAGTAGGACAAATCTGTGCTGTCTTTTATTGAAAGCAGGATTATTACTTTAATAGTTCGTGTTCCCAGTTGTTTTCATAACCTAGTTCACAGGGGTCCCTTAGCTTTAAAATCTCATCAGGTCTCTCTCAGACCTGAAATGTTTTACAGTTGATGTTCTGTAAGGACGATGGTTTATTCCTGTGTATCACTCCCAAGGGGATCTTCCTTCCTCAGTCAAGATTTCTTTTCTGGCATAAAGTAACAATAGCAAATAATAGTAGCGGGTATTCATAGAGCAAATATAAAGGGCTAGGTGCTGCACCAGTGCTAATATCCCCTCCTGGCAGCCCCGATACACAGTTACAGTCCTGCAGCTATTTTGTAACTGAGGAACTGGAGGCCCAGAGATACTGTGTCAGGGCTCACGTAGCTACTAAGTGGCAGAGCTGCTTTCAAACTGGCACTGGGACTTTGATACCTGTATTCCTACCTACGCTATTTAAGAGAGCTGTTTTTTTAGAAACAGAACAATACATAGTCTAACACCCAAGCAAGTGGGGCCTATTCCTCCTGACCTGGAGAGGTGGCCCTGGCCCTCCTTGGAGCCCTCCTCCAGCTGGTGTTTGGCTCTGTGTGGAGACAGTTTAGGTCGCCATGGCAGTGGTGCTGCTGTTGCTGCTGGCAGGTAGTAAGTGGAGGACAGGCACACTGCGGGATGTCACAGAGCAGCCTCTCACAGCACAGGGTGATGTGGCCTAGAATGTTACTGGTCAGTAAGGCTGAGAGACCCCTGAAATATCCATGGTGACCTTTTTGGTACTCTTGGACCTTATGGTGCCTTCCTCCTCCAGAGAACCCGCTCACTCCTGCCCACACCTGGGGCTCCAGGCTCCTCTGTCCCTCATGGCCCCCACTGTCCTGGACCTGACCTCCTGAGGACCCCTCTGTGTCCTTAGGTGAACTGCTTTGCACCCACCCAGGTTCCTGGTGACTGTGATGCTTGTGCCTCTAGGAAAGTAATTTCTAAAAACTTTTCATTAACATTAAAAATTGAAACAACTCCCTAGCTGTAATAACAACATGACATTTTATACCACATAGCATTTTGAACAGTAAGTGTGTAACCATTCAGGAGGAATATTGTGTGTGTGTGTGTGTGTGTGTGTATGTGTGTGTGTGTGTGTGGTGCTTGGGGTTGAACTCAGGGCCTCATGCATGCTAAGCACATGCTGTACCACTGAGCTGATCGCTGGACCTAAGATGATCACTTTTAAGGATGCTGAGTCTTAATTATGAACTTTTTCCCCTGTAAATTTCATTTCTAGCACATGAATCCTGGGGTCATTGGGCTGGGATGAGTTCCTTTGTCCAGAACCCCCCGAAGGAGCACTGGTGGGATGAGCTGGCTGTCACATCAGGGCTTCCCCTAAAGTGACTGCTGTAGTGAGGCAAAGGAAGCCAGGAGTTCTAAGCTCAGAACCAGACCATCTTGTCTTCAGCAGCAGTGGTCGCCCCTCCCCACATACCATTTTGAATCCAGTGCTTCTCCTCTAAAGATGAGTTTCAGCTGTAAGTGCATTGTGATCCCCAGGGTTCACATGTGGGAAACTGAGTCCCCCATGAGACAGGGCTGAGGGGTGAGGCCCGATAAGAGCAAGAGCACCCTCATGAGTAGATGAGCATCACTGAGTGACCTTGGCTCCTCTTGCTTGCTCACAGTCTTGTCCCTTCACCCTGAGCTGGTGCAGAGCCTCACCTGTGGCCACACTTTGATGCTGGACCCAGCCTGCAGACTGAGAGAAGCAAACCTCTGTTCTTCATAAGTTACCCAGCCTGGGACATTCTGTTACAGCAACAGAAAACAGTTTAGGACACAATATCCATGGACATATCTATCTGTTTATCTATCTGTCCATCATCTATCTATCTTCTGTGTGCTCAGGCATTCTTGGGAAACTTAAGAGCAGAGCCATTTGAATGACAGCAGGGGAACAAATCCTTGTTCTTGTGTGTGTGTGTGTGTGTGTGTGTTTGTGTTTGTGTTGTGGTGGGGGGTTTCAGGAGCAGGAAAGACAACCAGATAGAATATGTTTCTCACAGGCTCAGGTTTTCAGGCATCATGAAATGTTGAAAAGTGCTATGAAGAGAGTGGATTTCCTGTTGAAAGTCTCTGGGTTGCAGCGGCTCCCATTTCCTGATGCTCCAAGTCAGGCCTGCTGGCTGCTGGCCGCACCTGTCAGGGACGGTTTCTCGTGGTTGGAAGAGGGTCCCCCGGATCCTGCGCCTGAGGGTCAGTTCTAAGGAAGAGCTAATACACATCTGGCTTTCATGCAGATGGGACAGGAGTATAATCCATGGCTGGCTTAAGGGCCTTTATTTGCTCTGACTAGCTTTATGACTTAGCCCAGTTTCCTAATCCATTCATTAATCCATAAACAGTTCATCTGTGAAACTAAATGGACTCTTGTAGCTAGAGCAGAGTTTACTCTATACCCATTTTCTACTTTAGCCACGAAGCTTATGGTCACACAGAAGCAGAGAGGGAAGTGAACCTGGGTACCTTGTGAAAAGCATTGGAAGCTAGAAGTAGTGTGGACTTATGCTGTTGACATTTTAGATCCTTGAGTGCAGAAATGGCATGATAAAAGGGCTAAGCTGGGCATGGTGGCACACCCCTGTAATCCCAGAACTCAGGAGGCTGAAGCAGGAGGATCGCTGAGAGTTTGAGGCCAGCCTGGGCTATCTAGTGAGTTCAGGGTCAGCCTGAACTACAAAGGGAGACCCTGCCTCAAAAAACTAAAAAAACAAACAACCCCCACAGCATATAAGCCATGTGAGACAGTGAGTAAAAGCAAGAAATATAACCACTATCTTATAAATGGATGACCTCAGCTAATGTTTCTGTTGCAAGAGAATAAGGACATAAAACACATATATGTATTAGTACAGTGTTTGCAGTACATGAAGTTTACATTCATCTTGGAGAATAAAGGTTATTATTTGAATTAATAAAAATTATAAAAATCTTGAAAAACAGCAACAATCTTAGGATCAGAAATCATCGGTATATAGGTGCATTCAGAATTTTTTCTTTGCTTTTTTGAGGGAGTGGGGGTGGGAAACTGGGTTTTATGGTGTTGCCTGAGCTGGTCTTGAATTCCTCGGCTCAAGTGATCCTCCTGCCTCAGTCTCCTGACCAGCTGGGACTTTAGGCACACTCCGCCATGCCTGGCTTTAAAAATCACAAGATGACTTTGGAAGTCTGGATTTTTTTCAAACAGTCACTGCCAATATTTACTGTGATGTGGCCGCATAGGAATGATGTTGTTAGGGTACTTTTGGCCTTATTACTGAGAATAGCAGTGCGCTGTCAGGTTGCCTTGGTTTTGTACTTTTGTTGTTTGTTTTTTCCGTTCTCTAGAACAGCCTGGATTAAAATCCTCCTGAGGTTGGCTCCAACCAAGCTTAGTAATTTTCTGAATATTAAGGATATTTTCACTTCAGTGGGGATGAAATGGGAGGTTATGTTGGTGTGCAGGAGGGAGACCCCACCCTAGACAAGGAAGGGCCAAGGACAAGAGCGTGCTTTTCTCCTTGAGGCTCTGCCCCTAGTGAAAGTGCGCAGACCTCGTGCTTTGAGCAGCAGTTGGCAGCATGCTTTGGTCTGATGGTGCCCGGTGCCCGTCCTGAGCATGCAAGACCATCCTCCCCCATTCACTGAAATCACTATGCATCCAGACTCAGTGTCAAGTTTCTTTCATTGCTTTTTCTCACAGGCAGGCTGTGCTGCCTGCATCTCCTAAATCCTCACTGTCTCCATCGTGTCCTGAAGGACTGAGGAATGAGGGTAGTCTTTTCCTAGGGCTTTAGCCCAGGCTTGCTCTCCACTTCCCTTGACCCTGTTGGAGTGTGGCTTTCGGACCCAGTACCACCTCACCTGCCAGCTCAGCATGGAGTCCCTTTCCCAGGGGTACAAATTACTTGATTTCCTTGCCTCACACAACTACAGTTTAATTTCGCTTTCAGTGAACAACTTGTACTGTTGCTTTTGTTCCTTGTGGTTATATAACATGAAGTAAGGCACTCTCAAGGAAGGTGGGGACAGTTTTTCAGTCTGGCAACTCAATTCTAAAACCCACAGAAAGCTTTCAGATCACATGAAATACTAATGTTATAAACATCTTCCTCGTAGGTGGAAAAACTGGTGGATCCGTGGGATCCTCACCTTGACTATGATTTCACTGTTCTTCCTGATCATCTACATGGGGTCCTTCATGCTGATGCTGCTGGTGAGTATCTTGTTTTCCAGACGTGCCCTTTGCCTGGTTTCTCGGCGTTTACATGACTGAAAAAATGTGAACATGTCATTAAAAAGAAGGTAATCCATAGTTAGTGACTGCAAATTCAGTTCCTTTAAAGCATCCTCTGGTTTGTGGCATGATCTGGACTCATCTACACAATGTCCTTGCAGAAGAGACCAAGTGCAGATAAACACATCTGCATGTCACTGTGGCTAAGGTGGGCCACCAGGGCGGCACTGGAGATTGAGAGAGGCTGTGGTCTGTGGAGGTGGTGAGGGTAGAGGATGGAGGAGCAGAGGAGCCACCCTGGGAGTCTGGGATCTTGTCATTACAGCAAGTCCAGCGAGTCATGAAGACAAGTTAGTTAACTAGTGTCTTCGAGACAGCTGCTGTGTGCTAAGCTTTATACTGTCTGGGGGAGGAGCTGGGAGACCTTCCAGAAGCACTGTGCCGAGCACCTGAGCTGCAGTGTGAAGGTGATCAGGAGTCAGAGGCAAGTGGGGAGCCCAGGAAAGGAAGGGTCCCCACAGACCTAGGGGTTCATCTCCTACCTGAGATGCAGTGACGGAGCCAGGAGACAGGTGCGCTGCTGAGTGCAGCCATCAGACACCTCTGGGCACTGAGCAAGATGCAGCAGGGAATCGTGGGGGCACACTTTCATCTGAATCGTGCCCCTTGCTTTGTTGTTGTTATTACTGCCCAATGCTGAGCTGGAAAGGCAGGCAGAACCATCTGCTTCCCCAGCCTTAGCCCCGCTGCAGTGGCAACCTGCACACCGGACCAGCTGAGCTGGCCTTTCCATGAATTTGATATTGTCTTCACTCTCTCAGTTCAGCCTCGCTCATACCCACCTCCTTGTTCTCTGGCTGTGCTTGCCCACCTGAAAAATGAGCTCCCTCCCACTCAGCATTCCTGCTCCGTACCCAGTCCTATGGAGAGCACATCAGCTTGTGGGCAGCGTGGCGTGGTTTCCTGTTAAGTTGTAAAGCAAAATTAGACCTAACACAAAGTGGTTCTTGAAAGTGCCACAAAGCCTCTTTTGCTTTTATTTTCATCTCGTTAGTTTTGAGCTACTTGGAGATATCAAGGCAATGAAAATGAGTAAGATATTACTTTCATAGCTTGGTTAATTTGCTGATATCTTAAAGACTTTTCTGAAAAAATAGACGTTGATAGGACAGAGTGAGTGTGGGCAGAGGATGAGAGGGCAGCTGGGAGCGCAGTGGTGGGGTCCCCGGTGCCCACGCCTCTCAGACCCTGTTCCTGCCAGGCCTGAAGCCACTTGACCGGCCTGGAAACACCAACACTTCAGAAGCTGCATGCAGAGCCCTTGTCGGGGCTGCCTGGGGAAGAAGGCACTGGGTGGTGTGCAGAGTCCAGGGAGGCTTTGCACAGGCAGGAGCCTGAGGGCCTGGAGACTCCATCAGGCTGAGGGTCACGGTGAGCAGGGTCCCAGTGGCCTGTGCCTCCGGAGCACAGGCCTTCAGCCTAGAAACGCAAATTGGGACCAGATTCTGCCAGGCCTTGAAACAGCTATGGGGAAGTGTGGCTTCATTTGGAAAGCAAGTAGGAGCCACTGAAAATATTGGAGGTCATCTGAGTTATTCCACTGTAAAAGAAGATTCTGCCCTAAGCGACCCAAAACATGAGTGTCCTTGGTGCTTTGACTTGGGCTGCCGTGGTGGGCTCGCTGTGAAGGGATTACGTGGTATCCGCGTTGGATATGGTGACCAGGGCAAGGCTTTGTGGATAAAGACTGATTTTTAACCCTCTTTTGTGACAAAATTCAAAACAATTTAAAGGACACTCATGCATATATAAGTTTTAATACTTTTAAGACAATCATAAAACTACCTGGTGTACTTGGCTTTTTAAATTTTTTTGTGTGCTATGAAAGGAAAATACAGTTTTGTTATAAAGTATTTACTTTGGTAAGTCAGAGAAGAAAATAAAAATGTTAAAAGTCTAGTTAATACTTGAACTATTACTGATTAAGCTTATTGTGCTTATTGCATGTAATGTATGCATGCATATATTATTTTATATGATATTTATATTAAGGGAATGGGAATGAGAGCTTGTTTGGAGGTTCTAGCAGGGGAGCGCAACTGCTTGTACACCCTTGACCAAGGAACCGGTCTTCCTGTATCGGGTGGTTGTCCTCTTTGAAGCATGCAGTTTCAGGAGGGACACACAGGGAGCAGTGAGGGAGGAAGAAGACACCCGCCCAGCCAGCCAGATCAGCCCAATAAACCCTGGCGATCAATGGGGCCAGATGTCACAGCCAGATTGCCTGCATAATCATTCTTACAAAGATTCCAAAGTGAAAATTGACACTTGTATTTGGATAATCCATAGGTGCCATAGTTCATATTCTACATGTCCTAGTGTTAACATGGATTCTTTCCCTCCAGACACCCTGCATACATATGTGTGCTTTCTTAAGCCTTCTTGGGAATTATTCTGTGTTTCCTTTGGTCGCTTAACGCCACCTACACCTTTACCTCAGCCACCAAGTCCAGTCAGTTCTACCTCCTCAGTAGCTTAAATATAATATGCTATCGATAATTAGGGAACTACTCTTTCGGGTCTCTAATTGCACTATTGTGGCTACCGAATTGATTCAAAATGTTTCCCTTTCATGGTCATTTTGACTTTGGAAGAACCAGAAGTGAGGTGCCAGATGCAGTGAATGCGATGGATGAGGACACGTGTGATATTTCTATGACCCTCCCTTTCCCTTGGATGGCACTGGGCCACAACATTCCTTGTATTTTTTTTTATCATATTTTGTAAAGGTACTCCCAAAAGAGGACTTCTAGAAGTACTTCGGAAAGTGGCAAGGACGATGAGATGAGTATTTTGGAAGCGAGGAGGAGGATTTTGAGGGAGATTAATGGCCATGTGTCTTTTACTGTCATAATTCTTGTAAATGTACATACTCACCATATGTTTTGATCATACCTTGAACCTTGTCCTCCACCCGTGCTTCTGTCCTGGTTGGCTGCTCATTCATTCTCAGTGGAATGTGTCATCTGCCTGCATTACTGTCTCTTCTCACCACCTTTGTTGTCATTTCCCTCCCTTGAGCAGCCTGCCATGCTGTTTCCTGCTGTTCCATGACCAGGCCCAGCGCTCTCTCCCACCCCATCTTTGTGTTCCAGCAACCCGGAACTCCCTATCCCTTGCCATGTCGAATCCACACGTTCCCCTCCAGGCCCCAGCTGCTGCCTCCCTGCCCTGGCCATAGGTGTGCTGTCTGGGCATTGGCAGTTAGCCCTTCCACATGGTGCTGAGGCGATGTGGTTCCTCGCTCATAGACACGGATGCCTTGTGTTGTTTGTGCGGGTCTTCAGGAACCAGTGGAGTAGGTGCTTGGATACTGATTGTTGTTGTTAACGCCCTGAATACATTCACTGAGTCAACAGTGTTCTATAAGTACAATGGTTCCCAGTGTCAACACCACAGAGTAATAATTTTTGTGCAATGACCCAGCCCTAGATAATGCACATATGTTTTAAGGATTTTAACTCTAGTGCTTTGAATTCCCTATTTTCTGTTTTCTCGGGAGTTCTATACTAATTTTCCTTGCAAGTTATAATTGGTGATCACATAAGTATATGTGTGCTATTAAAAGTACTTTCTTCCATGCCTCACTAAGACCCATGTGTGATGCTGATGGTTGTGCTCCAGCAAGTGTGCTCATAGAGATTGCATCAGTGCATTTGATTTCTTTTTTCTGGTACCAGGATTGAACTCAGGACCTTGCACTTGCGAGGCAGGTGGTGGGGTGCCACTGAGCTAAATTCCCAGCCCCTAACATTTGATATTTTAAGGGCTCCTTGGGTCTATAAACACTGGCTTTGCCATTTTATCTGAACACAGAGCAGCATTGTCCTCCTGATTATTTTTTGTTAAAAAATGAATATGTTATGCACAAAGATTATTTGAAGAACATTTAAATATCGACTTGTCTTTATGACGTAGGACTTTTTGGCAAAGTACTCTTTACAGAAGTTTAGTGTGATATCACATGGCTGAGGGAACACATTTACTTTTTAGGTGCATGATTGAACATGTAGTCAATATAATGTAGAAAAGTAAGAATATCCTGAATGGTAAGTTTTGGAAAGTTAATTTGTGGAAATCTCAAAAGAAACCACAGAGTATGTCCTCAGACTGGGGTTGGTAAGCTTTTTCTATTTGGATCAGATAGTAAGACTTTCGCTGGACTTTACAGTTCTGTCACATAATGTTTTATTTTTAAAACTCTTTAAAATAATAAAAACCTATTCTTAGCCCTTGGTGTGTTCTCCGGAGGTGAAGGTGTCTCCTGCGTCCACACAGATTCTAACTTCTGCGCTGATGGCACAAAGGCTTCAGCTCCCGGGTATGCTTTAGCCAAGCAGCCAGTAAGATGCTGAGCCTTGAGGAGGGCCTTTACCAGATCACCAGATGCGGTGGTTTGCAGGACTGTTACAGACAGTGTCAGACAGGTGTGGACTTAGGACCCTATACACACGGAAGTGCATAAGCTCCCCCGACTGGCCCGCATCTGCAAACGCAGAAGGCAGCCTATCCCCGTGGTTGCACTGCTCAGCCTGACCAGAGCTGTTGCTGGTAGGGCACACTTGGCTCAGCTGTGAGAAAGAAAAAGCCATTGACACTCTTGGTGACTGGGTAGAACCTGTTTTCTGTCTATCCTGGCAGAGTCTTGATCCTTTGTGACTATACCAGCATGTACAGCTAAAGATGAGTGTGTACTGAGAACCTTTCACGTGGCATCACTTTCTAGGGTAACTCAAGAGATAAAGGTGGAAAAATTAGACTGAAAGACTATGATTCAATAATTATGGATAGGGCCAGGGATGTGGCTCAGCAGCACTACATCTGCCTGCCAAGCACAAGGTCCTGAGTTTGATCCCTGGTACCAAAAAAAAAAAAATAATGATGATGGATAAAGTGTAGTCAACTGGCCAACCAGACTATATCCCTTGACCTTTTAACTCTAGTGCTCCCCCCTACCTTACAAAGGGTCTCCTGGAGCTTTTTGAATGAAATGTTGTTTTCTTGTTCCTTTAGTGCATCACTTGATTTTTTTTTTTTCATCACTTGATTTTTTAAAATTTATTTAAAAAAATTTTTTCTGGTACAGGGAATCAAACTCAGGACCTTGAACTTGCCAGGCAGGCACAGCACCACTTGATTTTTAGACACTGAATATTGCATTTTTGCTATTTTAGAATAATTAAAAATTGGTTTCTAAAATATATATAATAAGTTGCTTTTAAATGATGAGGCACAAATGTACACATTAAGAAATATGTGTTAATGTCTTCTTTTGGTTTCAGGTTCTGGGCATCCAAGTGAAATGCTTCCATGAAATTATCACGATAGGTTACAGAGTCTACCACTCTTATGATCTTCCATGGTTCAGAACACTCAGTTGGTGAGTGAACACGAAACTGGTTCAGATGTTAATGTGGATTCATTTCTAAAGTTCATGGGAGAAGCATCCCAATTGGCCAATAGCCAGTCAGTTTCCATTACTGATTGATTTTGGTGAATGATAAAAAGACTACAATAGAATCTTGAAAAGAAGAAAATCACCATTCTCCAGTGTACCTTTTTGCATCTCTCTTCAGTCTTTGTAAAGATTTCTAAACATCATTCTTATTCTTTTTCTTAAAAAACTCAGCATTGTGTCAGACACATTTTATATACTTCATGATCATAATTTATCAAAAATTTTACTTATAATCCTTTGCTTTAGTTCCCCTCAGTTGACATAAGAACACAACATATTTGGTGTATGCAAATACAGGTAAAGTCAAGGGGAAAAAATCATTAAATGATTTTAACATTTAAATATTTAAATATTTTAGAAACTTTCAGGTATAAATCATAGCTATTAATCTTGACCAGGAAACATTTTAATATAATAGTTCATATCTAACCTAAGTGCCCATGCCTTTTAACATAGTTGTTTGGTATCAGGCAACGAGTCCATGTCATATTAAAACAGATGTAACACTCTTGTGTTAACTTGCCTCCATCTTTTCCTTGGGTAAGGACATCCCAGGAATGACCTTTTTGTGTCTGTGATGTTGCTGTTCACAGTTTTTCTTGATAGGCCTAGTACAATCTTGGGAAGAGGGTTGCTGTATGCTGAAAGTCTGACAGTAGCTCTTAGCCTTGCCTATCTTAGGTAGTTACGCTGTGCATTTTTTATTGGTGTACCATGTTTGATTTATCCCTGATACCTTAAATTTGGAGTTTTTCTGAGAAATGGAACAGTAATACAGCATCAACTTATTAAAGTACATCCTAACCCTTTAAAAAAAGAAAACAGATGTATTGCTTTGGGGTTTAGAGTAGTTAAAAAAACATACAATTCTCTGTTTTGGTGATAGATGATTTTTTTTCTCTTAGCACGTTTCTTTATACGTGGCAAAGTGTATGGACAATGTTAGGCAGATAAAATAATTGGAAAACAATTAAATGCTAAACCATGTAGGCTTTATTCTAAGTGTACAAAAAGAAAAAGATGTCAGACTGGGCCCCAGTGGCTATAGAAGGCTTCATAGAAGAGACGAGGAAGACAAAGGCCGGCTTTGGGGAGGGGCACGTCCTGGGTTGGAAGAGCAGGGCCATCAGGCTCTAGGTATGGGATGGGTGTAGCGTGTCCCATGGGTGGTGAGACTCTGCTAGTTTTCCTGACCAGAAGTATTTATTGGGAAAATTTTTGGCAAAAATTGGGGTAGGAGGGCAGAGTTAGGCCTTGGTTGCCTTACAGAGGAATCTGAGACAGCTTTGTAGGGAAATAGAGAAATGACCTCACAGTGCCTGGGAATGGGAATGCTTGTCTTTATCTCAGGATGGGGCTCCAGTCTCACTGTGAGAACCAGCGGGAAGCTGCCCTCTCCTCTTCTGTACTCCCCGGCACTAGGACTCCGGCCTTCATGGGAGGCAGCACAGGAACTCTCTGGCCAGGATTCTAAACCCTTTTCCTGGTCCATCCAAGCTCCATGGGCAAAATCTGTGGGCTCAGCCTCTCCCAAGGGAGGGGACACACCAGAACCGGCAGGCAGGGGACAGGTGGCTCAGGAGACTTTATTTGTTTGTTTTTTGGTATCAGGGATCGAACTCGGGTCCTTGGGCTTGCAGGGCAGGTAGTGGAACCACTGAGCTAAATCCCCAGCCCCGGCTCAGGACATTGAAAAGCTTCTCCCAGAGTTTGACGTGCTGCTCGGTCCCATCCTCCAGTGTCCTTTAGGTCACTGCTCACTTGCAGTCCATCAGAACCAAGGGCAGTGGGGACGCCGGTGCTGTGTGAAGTTGTGGCAAGACTGGGTGACCTCTTTTGGCCACCCTCAGCCTCCTGTAGGGCAGCTGGGATGGCATCTGGCTATTTCTGTCTGAAAACTCCTTATGGCTGGGAGGGGCTGTGTGTGTGTGTGTGTGTGTGTGTGTGTGTGTGTAGAGTAGTTGTATAGTTTCTATGTTGTTGTCTCTGTCATTATATTATGAGTTAATTAAAGACACTGCACTATGTTGAGTAGATTGTCTTTGACTGATAGATTTGAAATTAAGTTTAACAATCAGGAAATAGCAGTTTGGAACAGTGTATTTTGAATTGTTCTTCTGAACTTGGTATTGATCTTTGTATCACCATCATCAAACATCTGTTGAGTTAGAGGGGGAAAGCCTTCAGACATGAAAAAGCTAACTGTTTGTAAATTCCAGGTACTTTCTGCTGTGTGTGAACTACTTTTTCTATGGAGAGACTGTTGCTGATTATTTTGCTACATTTGTTCAAAGAGAAGAACAACTTCAGTTCCTCATTCGCTATCATAGATTTATATCGTTTGCACTCTACCTAGCAGGTAAGTTGAGGGGCTGTTTCTGTATTGGTAGCTAATATTTTCCATGCTTAGTTTTACTTATGCTATTTATAGTCATAATGCCCTTTATTGGTAATGTTTATATTCCAGTGGTCTTAAATAGCATTTACTCCTAAGGTGGTTTAAAAAGTACTTGATAAATGCTCATTTCAGTTTTGTAAATTTTCTTGTGCAAATTAAAGGAACTTTAAAATATACAGTGACTATTAACTAATAATATTAAGAAACTTTCAGAGAGAGAGAGAGACAGGGAGGGAGCGAGGGAGGGAGAGGGAAATGGACAGAGACAGAAGGGAGCACACAAGAGAGAAAGCACTTTGTCCTAGAAAATAGAGCTTTCATATAGAATTAATCAAGGTAATTAGTTTTCCTGACATGGTTAATTAAATATGCAACTTTATCATATGCTATGCCACATTTTTTCATTCTTTTAGATTAAAAATCAGTTATCTAGGGTAAAGTTAGAATTAATATTTCTTCTCTGTAAAATTTTACCAATCATAAAAGAAAATCTCTAAGAAGTCTATTTTAAGATGTCATCTTCAAAGAGGGCTGATGGAAGTCGTAGCTCTACCAAATACTTGTAGTCAACCAAAACCTGAGAAATTTAATTAATCTCTCTGTGCCTCAGTTTCTTTGTAGAGCCCTTAGATGACTACCTGTCACTACTTAATATTTGTTACCGTTATTATTTTCATTTTTAAAGAAGGTAGTGAAATTTATTTGTGAGTGTTCACTTTAGCTGTTAATTTATTCTTTTAGCACTTAGATGTTTCTCAGTAAATTCTTTCCAATTTTGGAAATGTAATACAAAGTAGATGGTTCCTTTCCCTTTCCATTTAAATTGCACCCAACCATGCTGTGGGACGTGTGTCGTCCTTAGTGTGTCATTTCATTCCATCACTGTGATGTCCTTTAGGGGCTCCAGCTGCAACTGAGGCTGCTCAGGTCCTCCGAATTTGGTTCTAAAGAGCCGGAACATGAAACAGTCTGAAATGGTGATGGCGATTGTCTTGGTTACTTTCTTCATTGCTGAGACCAAGTACCCAAGACCTAAAGTTAAAGGAGGACAGGTTTATTTGGCTCACAGTTTGCAGAAGTCTCAGTCCCTAATTGGCCAGCTCCAAGGCAGGGTGGCCTGGCAGAGGGGCCTGGCAGAGCAGCAGGGCAGAGCAGTCAGGAGCCAGCAGAAGACAAGCAGCAGCAGCAGCAAACAGGTGCAGCAGCCCTCTTTCTGTCCCTTTTATTCCATCTGGGCTACCCGCCCTTAGGGTGGGGCACCCTTCATCCCAGCATCACACGCTATACATCCAGCCACCTCCAAAAAGCCCCAGCTGTGACATCATGTGGCTTGCGGAGGGGAGGGGGGACAATCTAGATACAAGCCCTAACAGTGATTTTTCAGAGATCTGAAGCTTTTGTTCAAAACATGAAGGGCTACATTTTGTAAAAGATTTACCTCCTTTTGTATCAGGATTTTTGTTCAGTCCAGCTTTCTGACTCTACTTCATTTTGAAAAATTATTACTAGTATATTTACAGAAAGTAGAAACAGGCATTAAAGTATTTCTCTTCTTTCAAGAGGAGAGGAAGATGCACATTTGAAGGTAGTCCATTTTAAACTCTGGTAAATTTGGAGGATTACAGTTATGGGGAGAATATGGTGCTTGATGTCAGGTAAAAAGATCCCCTAAAATTTTATAGGGTAAAACATTTGACTTCAGTTTTGTCTTTATCAAAGCACATTTGTGGCATTATTTCTTGGGGAAAACTTTTGAGTGTTTTATCAAATCAACAAACTTATTTCTTTAAAAGAAAGGTAGATTCTGGAGTAAACTGTTTTGTATGCCAGGAGAGAATACATAGTCTCTCTCTACATATAAAATGTAAAGTGACAATGCTTTTTTTCTGACATTTTTAGTTTTAATAATAACATCAGCAAGAGAAGTACCTCTAGTGGCTTGTGTCTGCTTTTGTTTTATTTGTTTTGCAGGGGCCCTGTTCAGGGCCTTGCACATGGGAGACAAATGTTTTACCACTGAGCTGGGTTCCCAGCTGGCTTCTGTTACCAAACCTAATGATTTTACTTTTATTTCATGTGATTATTCTTATCATTAATAATTATTATAATTAATCATAATGTAAATAATTTGTATTCTATGTTAGTTTTTAAAAATCAGGTAGTTTCAAAAGATTTATAATGTAAATAGCACATCTGCATCCCAGCACTTTCATATGTTTTTCTGTTTTTCTAAGTAATGTGCCTGTCTCTTTAGGCATTATCTATTGACTTTCTGTAAAACCTGCCTCACCTCAGGATTTTTTAGTCATTGTTTACACTATTGAAGCAGGTACCTAAAATAATCACTTTTTGTAGAGTCAAATAGTATCTATGTTTATATTTCCATTGGTTTACAACTTTGTGCTTTTCCTATGCTGAATAACAACCGCCTCATCATCTCTTTTCCAAATAGGTAAATTTCAGAGTAAAGATCCTTAATTTTCCCTCTGGTCTCTGTTTTTTTGGTACTGGGGATCGAACTCAGGATTTTGTATTTGCCAGGCAGGCAGCAGCACCACTGAGCTACAACCCCAGCCCATGGGTAGTGTTCTTTTTAATGCTCACACAGTCAGATAATGTATTGTTGCCCTCCCTCCCTGCTGGCGACTCTGTCCCAGCGACCTCTGTGATCTTGTCCCCATGTGCCGGCTGCTGTGGGCCCTCCACCGGCTGCCCAAGATGTGGGCCCGGGCTTCTGTCCTGTGTCTTCCAGGTGTTTGGACATCCCTGAAGCACCCTTGAATAGTTTCCTGTGAGATGATGCATAGAAGATGAATGACTCATGTCCTTCTATTTCTAAAAATATTTGTCAGCTGTGGTCAGAATTGCTCGCTTTGGCTGGGGCTTCTCATCTGTCATTGGACATTGACTTAGTGCCCTAGCTTGGCAGTACGGGCCTCACCTTTGCCCTCTCCTTGTGTTCTCTATTCATTTTCTCCAGAAAACACCTCGAGTCATCCCAGATTCTGTGCTTCTAGCTTCCTGACTTTGCAGACATTATTTTTCAGTTCTCCTTGACCTCTCTTTAGTTCTCTTTGTTCTTGTGGGTTTTCACCTTAATTTCTTTCAGTGCTATTTGAGTGGTACACCAAGATAAAACAAAAATAAATATACATGCTCAAGACAGAAGCCGGGCCTAATTTTTTTGCTTTGCCCTTCTTGGCCTAAGCATTTATCAGTTTCTCTTGGAGCTCTGTGGATTGGCAGGGCTCCACTGGGCTATCTTCTAACCCAGGCCTCTCCTGTTGCTCAGTGAGATAGAGGCCACTGCTGGGGTCACTTTTTATGTCATGAGCGGGCCTAACACCCAGGCTGACTCTCCCTCATGGCCGCACTTAGTGCTGGTATTGAGGGGAGTATCTACACATGGCCCACCATGGGGCCTGAGTGCCACAGAGTACTGGTTTTTAAAAAATGAAGGCATAATATGCTGTAGTAAACCCTGGGACTAAAGAAATAGTCAGTGAAATCAACTTGCTACCTCAGAGTCATGCATGCCCCCCAGGCACTCCTTCCAGTTACTCCAGAATCTCCTGAATCTCCAGAATCTCCACACTCAGACCTCACCCTCCTCCCTCATCCGTTTCCTTGCTTCCTTTTCACATGGTCTGTGGATGCACTGTGTCCACACACCTGCCGGCTCACCCTTCCCCTGCCTGCAGTTCCGTCCCTACTGCTGTGCAGTGACATTGGATGGGTACGACATCAACAAAGTGACGCTTTTCCTTGGCTTACTTTCCCTTTGTGGTTTGCCATAACGTATCCTTATTCAGTGGGGACAGATAGAATTGTTTCATACCTCTGAGCTCTTAGGAAAGAAAATCTAGTATTTCTTTTTTCCCTGCAGTGCACTGATTTCTACCACAGACACATTTTACCCCTTGCTACTTAGGCTCATTGGGCCACGGAAGCTCCCTGAGTCGGGGTCTGCACAGGCACATAGGTGCTGCCCAGGCACCAGGTGCTGAGTGTGGGGTGCTGAGGGTGTCAGAGGTGATAGAGTAGACGTGGGGCCTTCTAGGGTCATGATGCTGTGAGGGCCATGCCTGCTAGATCATCGCTGCACGAGAAGAAGGACCAGCAGGGACATGAAGAGGGGGACAAGGGCCTGCTCTGATAAGGGAGCAGAGGCAGAAGAGCCTTAGAGAAGACATGGCAGGTGCGATAAAAGTGCAGAGCAAGTAGGCCTTTGCCCGGTGGCTAGCAATGAAGGGCGTGGGGCTGAGAGGAGTGTGTGCCAGGGCCCGTCGCAAGCATCAAAGGCTGATGTTCAGGTAGAAGCCTGTGCCGGTGACTGAGAAACAGCTTGGATCTTGTCCCTGGGAAGTCGTTGGAGGATTTTATGCTAAGAGAAGATAAGAACCAGATTTGTGATTAGAGAAGGATGGGTTGGGCGACTGGGCAGGAAGCTACTGCTGGAGTTCATATGAACAACGCCAAGGGCCTTACTGAATTTAGTACCAAGGAGATTATAGATTTAAAAAAAATAAAGATACTGTGAGCTGACTTTAGAACCAACTGCTATTTTATGACAATCTTGAAAAATTGTTTTTGTATCCCTGATTAGTGGCTTAAAATATAGTTTTGAATTGAGGTAATTGTATTGTTCACATTCAGCTGTAAGAAATACTAGTTCCCTTTTATACTTTGCCCATTTTCCACCTGTGGTAAAATTTTAAAACTGTAGTATCACACAGGAAATTGACATTATCAGGCTCTTAATGTACTCTTAATATGCAACCTCCTCCTAAGCTAGATAGTCCTGGGTTCAATGATGAAGCCTCCAATACAGAACAAGCATAGGGTTCTACATCTTTTGTCATTTTAAGTGTGGCATAAAGTTGGTCCTGTTGGACCATAAGCCCCAACAGTGTGTCTCTGCTTTGCCTCGTTCCCAGGCCTCAGGGTGGGGTGGGCACTTG